AAAGAGATGACATGGTTAGCATTCATGTTTAACCACTGTCTTTTTCTACCAATCACGTGAAGATCGCAGTATCTAATGGCACTAGCGGATCCAGGATTTAATTTTGGGGGAGGCTTCAGCACGAAAGCTTTTTTTTCGTATATATAATGATAATTACTTCGGAATAAAAAGAAAGAAACTAACTATATATATGAAATAGTGTTTAAGTGATTCTTGAAGTCCTATTATATGTAAAACAATGGTTATATTTTACCATTTTGGTGGGGAAGGGGGAGGTTGCTTCAGCCCGAAAGCCTCCGCGACCCCCTAGATCCGACTGTGTTTAATAGTATTAATAATAATAATTATAACTTGATAGATGTTAGGTTTAGGGGGCGGGGTGGCTGAATAGGCTAAAGCAAGTGCACAGCACCGCGAGTTGCCTGGCAACCGGATTACAGATTTGAGAAGATTTAAAAAGTACGAGTTCGCATCCCGTTGCCGGAGGGGATTTTAGATTCCCCGCCCTCACCCTCCGACCCGGGAAAATTCCGTGTAGCCTAAAAGGCGAGGTAGGGAAGAACAAAAAAAAAAAAAAAAAAAAGAAAGATGTTAGGTTTATTGTCGTTGTGCTCATAAATATAACAGAAATATATTATTTACTGCTTCTGAACTCGAACGAGGTACCGCAATCAGTGATGTAAATAAGTTTAAATAAAGAAGTTTAAATTAATAAAGTATGACACTAAAGTAAAATCTAGAAGTACTATTTGATTTTCATTGTCAAATTTAAGAATCTTCCAGAAATCGGTTTCATTCTTGAAGTATCTTTCAGGTCTTCAATGGTTCTTCAAACATCATTTCAACTATTAAAACTGATATCACTTTAGCAATCATATATTTACAAAGGAGTCCCAATGATTTAAAGCTAACTAATATGAGATATATTCAAATTAAAATCCCATTATTTTAGTTGAACATTATTAACTATACGGAGTTGTAACTACACTTTCATATCGAGATGGAGATGCAAAAAATAAAGAACTTTTAAAAGGATTTCTGACAAATGCTTTCAAGGACACACAAAACATGTTTTTTTTTTAATGCGTCTTAAATTTCTGTTCCATCTTACTAGTGGCAAGATCCTACTGGTGTCTAGTGTTGCCCAAATGCGAGACCGAGACGACTCTTGATCTTGCAAACTCAGTCTTGGTCTTGCGCAAGAGTCTCGCAACGGTCTTACTGTTACCTATTAGTTTAGTACTATAATGATATTACTGTATTTTTTTAGATAGGAAAAACCTAAGCCCGAATGAAAAATTGGCAGAGTTAAATGAAAAAATATATTAGTTATACCAATTCTTTAAATATAGTAACTAAAATTGTCAAGCATTAGTAACTATTTTACCTTAATTTTTATTGAAAAATCTATTATTTTTTTACCAGTCTTGGTATTGGTCTTGCAACAGTGAGGCGGTCTTGGTCTTGCAAAGTGTTGCAAGTACAAGACCAAGACCGATTTTGGGCAACACTACTGGTTTCCTGTAGGAAATGACAAAGAGTACCCGGTGCCGAGCATTGTATCCAAACTTAACCTTCATTTCTTAGTATAGATGATCGTCCTTCATTGTCTGAAATCATGATGTAAGTCCTCAGTACAAACATATAGCCAGTAATACTAGTCAAGTGCTGGGCAACTATCTCCGGTGACCGGCATTGTAGAGTAGCATAAATAATATATGTATAAATAAACATGTAATACTACAATCGATGATATGAAAAGTCTTGGGTTCAGTACTCAGTGAGGAAGATGTATTTCTACGGTCAACGGTCGTACAAGGATGTGATTTGGCCTTGATCACGATCAACCTCCAAGTCTTCTCTGCATGAAGGAAACCCACTTTATTTAAGAACGCTGCGTTAGATGTGTCCCAAGAGGGTCTTCTGATTCCTAGGATCGACCCACGTCTGATAAACCAGAATAAATAATTTTCCTCCGGAAAATAGGAGAAACGCAGTGTCATACTTACTGGGATCCCCCATCTTACGTTTATCTAATAATTTATTATATATTCTATAATTGGTTAGCATGGTATAAGGTTATTGAAGGATATATACATATATATGAGGGATGGGAGGTAAAACAAAAAAAAGAAATACGAATTATATTTTTATTTAAATGTAAAGTGATTGGCACATCATTGTGTGAGATGATAATGATAGCCAATCTGAAGGTAGTCCTGTACAATACTGAATAATAACTATTTTTGATCGATCATTAGTGAATGATATTGATGATAGTAAGCTCCGTTGATAACATTATTGTCCGAAGTATTAAAGGCAAAGAGTATATTCAAGAACTTTGTAGGATCTCCAAAGTTTCAAAAACACCTTTCTGTCAACAAATCTTTCTACATTATCACTTTCCACCATGCACGTACAGGTTAACTGGCTTACCCTGAAACAAAAACATGATTATTTTATCGGTCCGTATGATTATTATACAATATATGGAGAAACTAAATAAATAAAAGAGAAATTATACGTCAGAATTGGAAATGTGCGTAAATAAAGCTTGAAAAGTTTTTTTGCCTGGACATATTAAAAATATATGTTTATATATTGTTTTGTGTAAAATGTGAGTTTATAAACCTATTACGCTTAGTCCTAAAAAAAAAAACGAATATAGGTTATATTATCGGTTTAGTACAAAAAGTTACTAAGTTCATTTTTGATATAGGTTCACTTTCAAATCTGATTTCGTTTATTTCTACTTTATTTATTACAAAAACCCTGTAAAGGTATGAAAGTGGCGCAAATCCATTTTATATCAAATATAGTTACAACAAATGCACAATTTCCTAATTTCATGAAGAGGAAACTCATCAAATTAGTTTGAATTTTCGACTACTCACTTTTTGCAATAAACTAACGATACGTTTTCTACAAATCGGTACTGTTAGTACAAAAGGTCGTATGAGTTTACTTTACTTTTTACTAGAACAGCAAAAAGAGATTATTTCTTTATGATTTATTAGTATGATTGCATACTTTATTTCACTCTGATATTTTCCATAGTAGCCGACTACTTATAGCAGTTGCAGACTACAAAATGTTACCTTTAGTGCAAAGAGAATAAGAATGAAAAATTTTTCATACAACCTTTAGCATTAACAGTAGTGATATAATTATTTATTTGCCCTCAAATGTATCATCAAAGGAGAACCTGAAATAGACTTGTAAAGCTTATATTGGCGTTCCTAAATATTTAAACATACGTCTTCAACCGCTGTAGAACTCAAACCATGTTTTGTTTTGCCCACATCATTAATTTCCCTAATGGATGTTCTGAACTATTAAGTAATATCTCTTTAATCATGTAATAATTGATGTAACTATGATATAATTGGAAACATCCGAACTATAAAGACCATGAGACTTCAACATACAGGAGAATAGTTGACTTGTCAACTTTTGACCAAATTTGGGTATCTTGGTTTTTCTGCCCTCATGATACCTGATTTGGTGAAACATTTGTAAGTTAAATATTCATCTATATGTTTGAGACTCATGGCTTTGTAGTTTGGATTTTTTCATTGATATCATAATTATGAAGAGAATGATGGTTTAGGTGATCAGTCAGAAATAAAATGGCAAAAATAAATAATAATATTTATTTTAACATTTGCAGACGTTTCGACCTGAAGTTCAGGCCTTCATCGGGGCTGTTAGAAGAGATTGTTTGAATATTATAATTACCATAATGTCTCTTTTCTAGCTTTATGCTTATTTTAGTAATTGATGTAACATCACGCAAAGCTCAAGACCTGTACTAGCCATTTAGTAAAACTTACAAGTATGACTTATAGCCTTCGTTAAAATAATATGCACAAATTATATTTACATTTAATAATTACCGTGTAACGAACGAGAAACATTTACTTTTTTTGTTTCAAGCATTAAAATATAGATATGTTCGCATCCTATTATTTCCTTATAAATATTTATATACCTGACTGCCTTAAATCATCAATGACATATACGTTTTGTGAAGTATAGAGACCCATCTTGTTTGAGCAACGGTTAAACGTTTAATTTGTGATTCGGAAGCGATGTCATCTGATAAAAGAACAAATTAGTGCGTTGTATGCGAAAATTGCGTTTTTTTTTATAAGATAGCATACAAATTAAAAATGTATTTATGATTTATTAGTACAACTTAATATTTTATTTCCCTCTGCTATTTTCCATAGTAGCAGACTACTTATAGTAGTTGCAGACTACAATATGTCAACTTTAGAACAAATGGAATAAGAATGAAAATTTGTTACATACGACCTTTTGCACTAAAAGTAGTGTTGCCCAAATGCGAGACCGAAACTAGTCTTGGTCTTGCAAACTCGGTCTTGGTCATGGTCTTGGTCTTGTGCAAAAGTCTGGCAATGGTCTTGCAGTTATTTATTATCTTATTGCTATAGAGATATTGCTGTAATTTTTTAGATAGGAGAAACCTAACTAAGCTCGAATGAAAAATTATATTGGTTATACCAATTATTTACATATAGTAACTAAGATTGTCATGTATTAGTAACTATTTTGCCTTAATTTTTATTCAAAAAATCGATTTTTTTTCCCAGTCCTGGTCTTGGTCTTGCAACAGTTAGGCGGCCTTGGTCTTGTTATGCAAAGTGCAAGACAAAGACCGATTTTGGGCAACACTATCTAATAATAATCATATATTGGATACAAATATTGGAAGGGATTGAGGAAAATTTGATTAAGGTTATAAGAAAGGGATACTTAGTAAGAAATTTTGAATGCTCTTGCGAGTCTGTTAATACTTCTGATTGCCTGAAAGAAACATTTATAATTTTAAAACGACTGAACAGAACTATTTTATTACGTTCATAGATCTATTTTATCAATGTTATGTTATTCATAGATCTATAAGGTGACGGCGAAGTGCAAGATGTTGATGGTATCTATGGTACTAGATGGTGTATTATTGATTGGTGACTAACCTATGGACTTCCTCGCTGCCTTAGTTATCGGGAAGATGATCCCTTCGCAGACTCCCCAGGGGTTGTCCAAGGCGATATCCAGGATGGCGACCCCTCCGAGTCCGATGTGCTTGGCGAAGGAGGCTTTGGCAGCTGCGGTTTCCGGGTCTTCGTACCCAACCCAGATCCCCCTCACGTTCTTGGAGGGCAGGGTGTAGGCGAAGGCACCAGACTGTCTTTTATCGCTGGCTCCCATCCTCAGGCTATCTGCAGATCGAAGATGGTACATATTAGTTAAGAATGTCTGAGACGTGAAAACTTATTCGTCAATTAAAGCTTTAATGGTTTCCAACTGTTCAGTATCACGCTCAATCGATCGCTATAAATGATTCCTATATATAAAATAATGTATAAGTGATATGAAGTAATAGCCCAAGATAGGCAGAGATAAAGTAGGCTTGTTAAGGCGGCAAAAGATCTACCAAGCAAATCATAGAAAAAATATATGTATATATCATTTAAACAAAATTATTTTAAACATTGTGGTGTGTTCCGGAAACAGAATTAAAAGTATTGCACTTAAATTTCTCAATGGAGCTGACGAATGTTGTCTCGTAGCGAAATCGGAGAATAAATCACATTCAATATTCCTGTATATAGAAAATTCAGATTAAAAAACCTCGTTGTTCTTGGAACACATCACTATTTATTGATGCCTTGCGGTTGTTAAAATGAAAAAACTAACAATCTCATGATACAAATAATTGTAAAATAATTATGTTTCGCAATCTTTATAATATGGTTTGCGACTGTAGATTTTATTTTTTTTATCAATCATGCAGCATAATAATAAAAAATGTTTACCTTCAGGAGCAGTATCATTGTCTGCAGTTACTAAGGGATAACAGATTTCGTAATATGCCAGAAATCCTGAAAAAAAAATACATAAATAAGTAGTGTAAAATATAATTACAGAAGTTTCTAATACTCCTATTGTTCCTTACTCATTTACTTCAGTTTATACTCCTCATATGTTATTTCTATAAATTTAAAAGGATCTTATTTTAATAATCTTATAAAAGCTAATAAAACACTTTTAGACTAAATATTTCTACTCACAAATGATAGAGTAAAAGCTGAAATTTCATGGAGGGTAGTTTTGAATTTGAGAACAATAGGCGTAATCAAAAGGGAACATTTAATATTTCCTTTGTAATTAGTAACTTGTCGAATTTTTTTTTTTTTTTTAATAATCTATTATTATTTTTTAAATACTACTTTATTATCAACTTTAAGATTGAACTAAGCGCTCGCATCCTATGGCAAATCCCATATCAAACTCAACCACTTCTTTATTTAACACATCTTATCTTTGAAACTATAAATCAGAAAAAAAAATCGATACCTTTTATGGTTATCTTTTCTTAACCTAATGTTACCGAAGAATATAAATCGATTACATCTCATAAAAATAATAAACTATTTTGTTATAATCTAATAAAAATGTATTTACATATTAAATTTAACATGTGAATTTTAAATGGGTCTTATTACTTTTTTTTCTTCTCTTACTTAATTTGTTTCTTGACTAAATGAGTTACACTAAGTTTATTAACTGCGTATATTCAAATTAATCGGATAGACGGCTACTTATATTACCAGTTGTATAAATTAGTGAAAGTGGTTTACCTAGCTTTTAAATATTTCAAAGCAATTAATTATCAACAATGTTTTACTATTTATAAGATTCTCCAATATCAGAACTGGAGTACCCTCCTCACCAAGGTCGATGGCCTATACCCCCTCCCAAGAAATTTAATTACTCTCTTCTTAATAACAAAGCGAACGAAAGTAGATTTAGAAAAAAAATTATGTCATATACAATTACACTTACTGTGGTCTTCTTTCCCCTCATATATCCTAGTTTGTAATTTCCTCCATATTTAAACACCACAGATATATGGTACTGTAAAAAAAATCTTAACTCCGCCAAAGTGTATCAATTTTCGCCTTAAAAAATCAAAATCCAGTAAAAATGTGTGCCATAAAATTCTAATAGCGCAACTTGCGGCTTGCACAACCCTCTTAAGGGCACGAAATGGAATAGATAATGTAAACAACCATTTAGAAAAAAAAATATATATATATATATATATATATATATATATATATATATATATATATATATATATATTTACATTATCAACTCCATTTTGATGATTTTATTATTTTCGATGTAGATTTCAATTACTGGAGTACTTGCACACATGTATAATCAAGTGAGATCAATATTTAAGATAATACAATTTCATTAAACTATTTTCTGCTATTTTATTTTTGGCTATTTTTTTTTAACTGGACCATTTTATTTGCCATATCTTAAGAAATTTTAGTATTTGTATTGCACAAACAAAAGTCAAATCTTAATTAAGAGACTCACCCTTGGTCTTTGTATAGCGACCTTCTGCTCCAGGTCCATCCGCTTTGAGAGGAGGGATGCCTGACCAACTGGACACGTCCTTCAACCTCCATGACCTGCCCCAGGTGGCGATTCCCAAGTTCAGTTTGTAAGCTAAAATTTCAAATAAGAATAATTAGATGTTATACTATTGTAGAACAAAAATATACAAAATTTAAGCGAGGTGAAAAATGGATGACACTGGCAAGAAAGTACTGAAGAAGTAACGATGGTTTTGCAAGATGATATAGCTAGGATTACCATCAACCGAACGAAGGGCCGAGAACTCACTGGAATGATCTTCACTCAACTCGATAGAAGGCAGATGGAACAAATATAAATTTTTTACCACCGCTGAGCTCGAAAGCATTAGCGTCTTTCTGTTTTCATTATTGTTAGTAGCGAGCAGTTTTATAAACTTCATCAAATATTCGATAATTTTATGGAATTAAGGTCTTCCAAATACAGAATACTCTTTATAACGAACTCAGACCGCAAGTATTTTGATTGAAAAGTCCATAACGGACAGCAGGAGACAAGTTAAGCTCTCATTCTCAGAACAATTTTGTTACAGGAAAATACTAATTTTCTTTTGGAAAGAAAAACCATAATAATAATAATTGTGTGATTATTTATTTTTGTGCGTTTGATAATACAGATTTTGCGCCCCAACCATTACATAGAGATCGATGCCTATAGGCGAAAGTTATGTGGCATTTATGAGTTACTATTGGTTTTCATAATTCCTCACTGGACATGGTGGCTTTAGGACTAAGTTACTCAGCCTCGGACAGGATATAGACCCCTAGGATTATTAGCCACGTTAATGAGAACCACGGGAATTTATGTTTTCACCGAAGAGGAGTTTCCTTGGTTGGTGAGAGAGGACAACTTCCCGTGGTTCGAAGACTTCATAAATGGTTGGAAGACGGCGGTGGGTCCAGCTCACTTTCACCTAGGGACCTGCAGGAAGGGAGGACCGGTGAAGGGAAGACCTCCGGATCGGGCTTACACAATGAAGAAGATGGAAAAAAGAAAAGAAAAAATTGGTAAACTAAAGAAAAAGAAAAACATGAGAAGAGTTGGTCGGGGGGTGCGGTCAAATAAATACTGAATTTTAAAAAATAGTATTTTTAATTGTTTTAGTTTCGACCCACTATGCACTTCTTCATCAGGGCTACAAAATATAAAAGGTACATGATGAAAATAAAATAAATGAATTATAAGTAGATATTAAATAAGAAACAGTTATCTGATAAAGAAATAATAAGATGACATCAGAGATATAGTTGGTAGTGTTGCCCAAATGCGAGACGAGTCTTGGTCTTGCAAACTCAGTCTTGGTCATGATCTTAGTCTTGCGCAAGAGTCTCGCAACAATCTTGCAATTACTTATTTGCTTATTACTGTCGAGATATTACTGTAATTTTTTAGATAGGAGTAGTAGATAGCAAAAGTATATTGGTTATACCAATTTTTAACGTATAGTAACTAAGTATCAGTAACTATTTTGCCTTAATTTTTGTTTAAAAAAATAGATTTTTTTTTAACAGTCCTGGCCTTGGTCTTGCAACAGTTACGCAGCCTTGGTCTTGGTCTTGCACTTTGCAAGACCAAGACCGATTTTGGGCTACACTAATAGTGGGTGACAGTGTAGTTAAAATATCAAATATTACATATATATATATATATATATATATATATATATATATATATATATATATATATATATATATATATATATATATATATATATATATATATAGAAGATACAAACAAAAATATAAAATAAGTATGTTCAGCCTTATTTATTGTGTTATGTTATAATTGCACCTGTATTGCCATAAGATGGTAAAAAAAAAAAAAGTAACTCAAGAGAAATTTCAAATTATTTCTAAAAATATATAAAATTCCAATCCTTGGATTCCGATCATTTTTAGACGCCCCTTGGAATGGATGTTTCTTTAAAAATATTAGTTAGGATCTGATGGTTCCTTTTATTAGTTTAGGAACTGTTAGTACTTTTTATTGTCGGTCATTATAATTTTATTAAGGTATAACTTACCTATGGCCTCGTGGTTCAACCAATGCCTGACGACAGCTTCCACGTTCTGGTGCGGTAGCCGTTGAGTGACCAAGTGAAGAGGGTGCGGATAATCCGCGAGGCCTTGAGTTCTTTCGGGGGTCCTGAAGTCCACTGCCCACAAGTTGACCATGTCGACGTAATGCATCAACGACTTCACGTCGAAGTAGGCTGGAAATGAGTTGCAAGAGTGTTATGAAGTATCCTCGCCGTGTATATAAAGACAATGCTTACAACTATATGGTACCGACCGGTGGAGTTGACATGGGGAAGCACGCTGACCGAGAGGGTCTTGTTCTCCGGCCTCAGCTCCGCCTTCATCTCGCTGCAGAGGACGACGAAGTAGTCCCGGTGGAGGCTCGCCTTCTTGTCCACACCGGACCCGAAGGCCTTCGTGATCATGTCCCAGATGGATCCTGTTGGCAATGGAATTAGAATTCAATAATATGACATCAACACAAAAAATAATTAAAATAAATAAAATGAACATAATAGAATAAATATAAATAAAATAAATTACCTATTAGCGATTTTTCAGTTTTCTCTTCCACGTGAGGGAACTGCCAGGCGAGATCGATGCCATCGAAGCCGTACTCTCTCAGGGTGGTCACTACCGATGTAGCGAATGCAGTCCTTCTCTCTTGTTTGTTCAACTGCAACAAATAACTTTTACATTAGATTAATTATTAAAAAGACCTCAAACTTAAAGTTCAATGTATAATACAGAATTTTTTCTTGGGCCAACGTTTCAGCCCAAACATTTGGGTCATCTTCAGAGCGTGGTTAGAGCACTGAAGACTTTCAAGTACTGACTGGTCAGTGCTCGAACCAGGCCCTGAAGATGACCCACATGTTTGGCTTGAAACGTTGACACAAATAAAAAATTAAAGACAATTTTAAAAGACTGCGTCCTGAATATTTATCACCCATGATATGTAAAACAGTCAACTAGCTTCCATCAGGAATATTTCCTTCTTCTTCATATTAAGACTGGACATCAATATCGGGCCCATTGCCAAACCGAAAAATATGACATATAATTTTAAGTAAGCTAAAAATCATTTCTAACTACTTAAAAACGCACTAAAAGCTATAGTCCTTAATAGAGATCATCCAGAAAAAAAAGTATTTAAGAAGAAAACCAACACAAAATGAAACAGTTAATTCTGTTATAAAACGACAGAAAACTTATCAAATAACATAAAAGTTATTTAAAATACGGACATTAGGTACAAACTTTAATAGTGATATTGTAAATTTTTTTTACCCTCATAATTCATGGCTTCGCCATGGAAATAACTTCTCAGAATCTGTAACTCTTTACATTAGTTACAAAAACTACTTTTAGTAATGGTACTGAAACATATTTATTTTTATCGAATTATTAACATCCGCCTTATACTTCTTGAATAACTTCATCTCATTGTAACTTATATTGTTTTTATTTACGAAAATTCTCGAAATCGGAGCGTTTCTAAGTGAAAATCGGCAAACTTTGTCTATTTAATTAGGTAAGAAAAACTCATGAACACCCATTGGCTTTACACTTGAAAAATAAGGTAATTTGATCACAAAATAGAGAAAAAAGATGGCCTGCTAAAGTATTGGGCAGTTTGGCGTGATCTCCACAACATGTCAAAGTAACAAGGTTATATCAGCCTAACACCCCAATATTTACCTTAGGCTACATTTTTTTTTCAATTTTGTAATATAATTAACTTAGATTCAAGTGTTAAGCGAATGAGCATTTATGATATGTTAGTATCTCATTAAATTAACTAATTTAGTGTGAAAACACCCCATTTCTAAGAATTTTCTTGGATAAAAATCTGAAGGTTATGACACTAGCGGATCCAGGATTTAATTTTTTTTTTGGGGGGAGGAGGTTCAGCCCGAAAGCTTTTTTTTTCGTAAAAATAACAATAATTACTTTGGAAAAAAAGAAAGAAACTAACTATCTATATGAAATGGTGTTTAAGTGATTCCTATAGTCCTTTTAAATGTAATTGCACGAACAATAATACGTTAAGAGATAGTTTTTTAATATTTGTTTCCATAAAACATGGTTATATTTACCATTTTTGGGAGGAGGCTTCAGCCCCAAAGTCCCCCCCCCCCTTGTAGATCCGCCCGTGGGCTACGATAAGATAAAGCCATTCACGAAATTTTAGGCTGATGTTAATAATTTGATAAAATGGGGTAATACGGACTAGTAGGCATCGAAGAGTTTAATAGTCAAGACTCCGTTTCCGGTGGTATTATTTGTACAAAATATGAATCAAGACTTAAAAACCAAACTGTAATATTATATAAATGCTATAATATATAACAAATTACCAATTTCAAATATTTATCTAAATCTTCTTGATCTTCGTATCCTCCAACGGACAACATTATAGTTAATCCAGGATGAGATTTCTTCAATTCTGCCACTTTTCGCCATTGACCCTTTCCTACAACATCAGAGAAAATCGTCGACACTTAAAAAACCAATGTTTCCATGAAATTTCCATCTGAATGTTATAATATAATATATATCATCTAATTTTAATCTTATCTCTTAATTTGGGTCCGAATAACGGATATTCAAACAACTGAACAGAATGGATACCTTTATCTGTGTCCCAATCGATCTTTTTGTCAATCGGTTCTAAAGTGTAGTAGTCATCATTGATCGCTGCGAATCCATAAATCAAATGAGAACAAAGATTGAGCGCTCTGTCGATGCTTTCAAAGGATACCTGTCCAGTGTCTGAAACAGAAATCATAATAATGCTAAAGCTATTCAATATAATCATCAAAAACTTTATTCATGACCACAATATACAATTTGAGATAACCAAAGAATCGAATTCCTTCAGCTTTAACAGATCTATTACAATTATCAAGACAAATATTTGTTTAAGTAATCTAAGGAAAATATGTTAGCGCATGCGCAGATGAAAGTAGTAGATGGATTTTAATTAAGTTTATACATTAGCATTTAGATAAAAACCAGCAATCTTAGGAAATTTCAATAAAATCGTATTAACAATAGTGTGAATTATGTCCGTCGCATGCATTTAATAACAGACAGACACATGCACATCCTAACTTTTTCCTTGCTGTCTAAAACATAAAATGTGAATGGAAATTTTAGATTCATATGGCAAATATTTTATCACAAGCATGAATACAACGTTTTAAGAGAAATAACAATGGACCAGACATATTCTTGCCAATGTATTGTATAAATCTAATCTTTTTTTAACTTCCTTCTCCTCTCATTTCGACAATACAGGATTTTTCCCGAGCCAGGGGAGAGGGTGAGGATTTAATGTAAAAGTTAAAAAACATCGCCAACGGGACGCGATCAGGTTGCTAGGGGACCCCTGTTTTGCACATCCACCGAGTAAAAATATTTGAAAACTTAATTTTTTAACAAACTGTTCATTAATTTTTTTTTTCAATTGAATCAAAATTGAATAATTTCAATCTCGATGAAATTATGTCGTAAAATATTATATTGCCAGTCATTTTCAATTCAGAAGAGGACGGAATATACGGCCTAAAGCCCCTTCCTCAAAATAGAAAAATACATTTTTTTTGGGGGGGGGGGGGGTTCATAATTGTTTCCATGTTTGATCTCAGCTAAATACTTAAAGAATCAAATTTTTTATTTTTTAAATCATTATGCATCTTCTTCAGCTATTAAATATCTGTCAAGAAAAACTACAAAAATATCATCCAAAAATGTATCCTGCAATACCGTTATTTAAAAAAAAGAAGTAATAGAAAAACAAAAATTTAGCTTCCCCAAAATTAAATCCTGAATCTGCTACTGTTTTCAGTAAATGTATTTTTTGAACGAATAATAACCTGGTTTGTTTAACTGCGGTAGGATAGGCCCATGGCGAAACAACATAAAAATAAGAAATCTGTAGTTCTCAAAGTAAAAAAAATAAATCAATTTCATTAATTTTAATTTTAGAGGATTCTGAGTAATAGGTTGAAACGACTAGCCAGCCACAATTCACAAAAAAACACATCAACCATGAACCTACGAAATTAATTTCTAAAAATATGATTCATCTCTGTAATAGCCACATAACGTAGCCCATACTACACAAAGAAAGAGAGAAAAAATAGCTTTCTGGTGATATCAATAAAAATACACAAAATTGCGCTTAACTCACTATTCATAGGTGCCACAGATACATGTTAATAGCTTATAAACACACTTTCGTAAACAAAGAAAAATGTTTACAGTTCCATAATAATTAAATTGAACAGATTCAAAGCGAAGGTTTTTCGTAAATGAGAAAGAAATGCATCGTTATTTAATTTATTTTATTACAAAATTTGAAAACGGTTTCTTAGCAAATTAAATCTTTAATTTTTTTTTACTAATTGGAAACTCAAGTTACCTTTCTTCATCATTAGTAAAGGAATACATTTACAAAATAAATAATTGTTATTCTGATGCCTTACCCTTCCTCAGGATGGACTTTCCATTCCAGTAGCAGACGACCCTCCCTCCAAAAACTGGAGCCGCTGTAAACAAAAGGAAGAACAAGAACCGCATCTCCTGATGAACCGAGAGACCAAACTGTTTCTCCACTATCCACTAATCAGTTCAACTCTTATCCCGACCTAAGCGAGATAACAACCTATCGATTTTTATTCAAACACGCTATACACAAATAATTACTTTTTCATGAGTAGTAACATGCAAATATATCCAACAATACTTCGCTTTATCAATACTTCAGAGCTTTTTCATTCATTCCACACGATTGAATATGAGCATTGTATTCACTTTAGTTACAGATGTAAAATTGTTCTATTTTATAAATTATTATATGTTTACTGATATAATGAATGACTCATATGTAATAAATAAAAAATATAATTTACTTCCCGATAATTTAATATAATTTATAATATAATTTACTTGAGCAGTTCTGTAGATAATATCTATGAATCGATGGTCTCAGCGTGATGTAACACCGACAACGAGGTTGCTAAGACAGGCTCAGTCCGGACTGAGAACTCAACTTAATGGGCCAATTCACAATTATCATGCCCCTCCCTTTAGTCAGGTGTCTAAATGGCATTTTCATTACATAGCGGATGGTGTTATAAACATGTTTACGGGAAGCGAAAAAACAAAAAAAATAAATAAATAAAAATAGCAGTAGTTCATATTATATGCACAAATTCAACATAATTATTGATAACGAACAAATATAATATTGGATATTTAAAAATAAATTTATATATATACATATATATATTTGGACAATTGTAGAATTTTTTGTAATGTCCTTATAGATATATTTGAAAATATCTGAGCAAAACAATTGGGTATATTTTTCAATGTGTATACGTTGAACATGACAGGAAGGGGCACAGCCTCCATAACATTAGTACATTTCTAGAACGTTCAGCTAAAAATCAATAATGTTAGGGACTGAAAAATAATTCCTTAGTTTGCACTGGGGTTGAGTTAAACATTGGGTTTAGCCCCAGTGACGCGGTTGAGAGAGAAGTGCAGGGATCTCATGGAGTCATACTTTTCCCTCCACAGTTGGAGGGACAAGTCTGGTTTGGCGTTCTCTCGCCAGATTGCAAATATTTTATATAAGTGTGAATGTGTTCCTTTTATTTATTTATTTTTAGGTTATTTTATTCTTATTTATTGTACATAGAATGGAATGTGATCTGTGAACACTATTATAAATGTCCTAGAGACAGATTGTAATATTTTTCAATAAATAAGTTTTTAAAAAAAAGTTTGCACAATCTACAAATAAAAAAACACTGCCAATTATTTCACAATGGTTTGTTATTTTCAAATAATTATACATCTAAAGTAACATTACTTTCCTATTAACATAGAAAAATAAAATAAAAGGTGATTCCTATTATTGGTCAAAACTATTACTAGTAATTTGCTAACAAAAATAGCATTACTTTAATAACACTTTCAAAAATCAAAAACCTAAACAAAGGATAAAACCTAGTTGAACATATAAAAAATATCTAGAGACCATATATTTGCTTATAACGATTATTTTTTTTGGAAATTTCGTAAACTTTAAAATAACCATACTATACAATGTCAACAAAAAGTGTATACGTTATGAGTTATTCGGAAATCTAATTTTATAACCCCTTGTAACTTTTTTTTCAGTTTCTTTTCGTTGCAGGATGGTATATAAATAAATCTAAAGGGCATCAAGAAAAAGACTTTAGCGAAGTTTCATTGAAATCGGTGAATTCGTTTAGGCACTACAGTCTATAGCAACAGAAGTTTTTCGTCTGCTATCTTGAAAGGAAAAGGCGGATAGTAATGTCGATTTCGGATTATCATCTTTGGGTGATCTCTGACTTTAAATGTAAATTTGAAAAAGATTGGTCCAGTAGTTTCGAGGACAAAAAAATTTGTATTCGATTTTCGAATTCTACGTATCCTGAAACGTAAAAGCTCAAATTTTGAGGGGTTTAAGTTTTTGAATTTTTCGGTCGATTACAATGGTTCATTATTGAAAATAATAAATAACCAATTAACTTTCACATAGTCTGACTATGCAAAAATGTCTATAAAAACATTCTCTATAAAATATATTTATACTTTTACTTATTAAATATATTTTTCCTACTTTATTAAAGAAATTAATTAGCATTTGAAAAGTGATACGAAGAATAGGAATGTTTTTGTGAATTATGACATTGGAAATTTGTACATAACTAGTGAGGTCGCTCGAATCTATTAAATACAAATTTTCCGCTATATGTGGGATAAAAGCAGCTAATTTGGTGAATTTTGAAATTTGGTGAAGACATTTCCACTGGAATTTCCGGAAATTTCGATCTTCAGCATTAAAATTCAAAATGGCCACGAAGATAAGATTAAAGCTAATCGAGTATACTAAAAACTTAACTGAACTAATTAATATTTTTCTTTAAATTTCTTGGCTAGAAACCTTACAAAAATATTTAAAATGATTCCGTTCTTCTAAAAAAAAAACACAAATAATATTGTATTAAATGCGTAAAATAGACTTTACTTCAGTTAAGTTCATATCGAACTATGACTACAATTAACTGTTGCTAAGATTCTATTTCTTGTTTTTCCGTGATATCGGATGTATTGTAATAAATATAATTGTCTAAAAACACATTTTATTTATAAAATAAAAAAATTAAAAATTCTGTATTTTCAAGTATTTTTCATATAAGGTGGTTATGAAATTGTGTTTTTCTCCTAGTTTCTGTCATAGGAATTCACAAAGTTAATGTTTCTAGTCCTAATATTTACGTTTTCGTGAAAATAATTGAAACAATCAGTAGGTTTCTTTATTTTAAACTTACATTTTAGTAAGAAATATTAAGTTTGTCACTTCATATCAATTCCTATGACGGAGATCTGGCTGAAAAACATAATTTCATGACCAATTTATCTAAAAAATATTTGAAAAATCATTATTTTTAATATTTTTATTTAAATAAATACAACAACAACAATAAATAAAAGCTTTGCAACAGTTAATTAACGTCATATTTTCTGAAAACACGGGTACTTTTAGGTAACGATAGAATATCACATAATTTCCTTACACAACTTGAGATGAATTTCAAACTTTTCCCAAATAAATCTCAACTTAATTAATATGGACTTGAAGATTATTAAATGTTAAAGTTTTTTTTTTTTAAATGGGGTAAATGTAGTACAGTTGAAAGATGATAAAAAAAAAAAAAAAACAATAAATAATTCATGACTTTTTTTTAACGCAACTTAGCTGTGTTGGTCTGCTTAATAGTTCTCTTTAAACAGTTTTAACCAACACTGTCATCACCACCTATGCCGATGACACGTGTATCCTATCAGTTAATAACGATACATCTATTACATCCCAAACTCTTCAATCACACATCGCAAGTCTTGAAAATAGTGTCAAAACTGGAGGATTAAAATAAATCCCATCAAATTACCTTCACTCTTCGTCGTAAACCTATGATTTCCTGTCCTACAGTATCCTTCAGCAATAGCCCTCTTATCCCTGTCGAACAAATCCGATACTTAGGACTCTACCTGGACAAACGACTCACTTGGAATCCCCATACCAGAATGAAACGACTAGAAACCGCCCGACGTTTTCGACTACTGCAGCACTTACTAGACAAACGCTCTAAGCTTTCAATCAATTACAAACGACTCATATATATATATATATATATATATATATATATATATATATAATAAGGCTTAATCGGACTTAAGGAGTTGAACTATGGGCTCCACCAAACCTTCAAATTCGTCTCGTATCCAATCCTTACAATACAAAATCCTTCGTAAACTCTTCAACTTCCTTGCTTTGTCACAAATAAAATCATCCATAAAGACCTTAATGTTCCAAATGTTTCCGATTTGGCCTAATCTAGATACCTATCCTTCCATAACAAACTGCAGAACCATCCGAACCCTCTCGTTGCAAACCTTGCTTCCTTCTCGATCTCCGATAACCCTCCGAGCCGTCTGAAAAGAAGATGGCCTCGGGACCTTCTAATATAGAACTTTAATTTGAGTTCTACCAGTGAGTAGTTTCTCTTCATGTTGTACATGTCATGTTGCCAATGTCACATTTACTTGTTGTATTTTTCATGTAATACAGTTGTAAATTTCATTAAAATAAAAAAAAAATAAAAATAGTTTTAACAATGACAAATTCTACTTCCGTTTAAAGTAAATTTTGTCTAGTCTACTGTGGAGAAATGTTTAATTACTTAAATCAAATATTTTTACGTTATCGCTTCCTATTCAACAAAAACGTGACTCGTGGCTCATATGATCTTTTTCGTAGATCGTGATGTCTCCTATCAATATTTTAAATATTTCGCTCTACTTACAGAACACCCTGTATATAACAATGACCTACAGTTACAGCATGATATGATTACCATCCATTAACCACACAACCTAGTACGATGAATACTGCATTAACTTTTCATGCTGCATTAGTTGATCGTAGATAGTTAAATCTGATTGGATCAATGAGAGGGCAGGAAGGATCCTATGACTCAGTGCTAATTCAGGCTCGACCTCAGTGAGGTCCAGACCAAGGCCTCCCCCCCTTCCTCTTCCTCCAGCGTTAAGTCTCTGTTGCAACACTGCTTATTTACTAGCTGCCACCATGTTGTTTCAAAAGAGTGTACTCAAAGTACGATACAATCCCATTCAAAATTTATAAAAGACTGACTGTATATATAAGCTGGTTATAAGCGGTACAAAAAATTGAAATCTTATGTAATTTGTACAGACAACATATCATCAGTGACATGTAATAACAATCATAGGCGTTGACTTGAGGGGAAAGGGGAGATTTGACTGATCGCTCCCCTTCAATAAAAATGTTGAGGAGCGAGAAAATCGTTCGCCTCTTTCCAATAATTTGAGGTAAATAGAAATTAAAATCAAGAATAAATAAGCTACAGGAACAATAAATAATAGTGTACTATATCGCTTAAAAAAAGTTAACTACTGCCTAGACTAGGGTCTTATAGTAGTTGTGTTATTATTTTATTGATACCTAAATGTTAATTTTATTTAAATTGCCATTTATATTCAAAGATAATAATATAAAATATAAGAGAGATTATAATATAATATATAAGAGAGATTGTATGTTGTTTTTATCCATTTTTCTTTTTTTCCATCTACAAAATTGTGTATATTTTAGACGTATTTCATTTCTTACATTTCTCAATTTGTGCACATATATATCTTTTCCTATCTTGGAATGTTATTTGTTATTTAGTTTTTTTTTGTTGCAATTGTTTTCTCATAAAGTTAATTTAATACCCCTTCCTAATTGTATTTATCTATTTATTCTTATATTATATCTCTTATGCTGGGAAAATGCAATATTGTGATCCCGTTGCTCATCTAGAGTCATTATTATATCTTTAATATATGTATGTTTTGTATGCTTTCGCTGTTTAACATAAGTCAATTTTTTTTATTTACGTACTTTTGATATTTTTTCTTTTCGAGAGGTTTTGCTTTTTTCCTTCTATACATGTAATTATTTTTTTATTTATTTTTTTTCTTTTTGTTATTTTTTCTAGT